AGACGTCTAATATACGTCTTTTGCTCAGTGGGATTGCAAAGCATGTGGACATTTGTGTGACACGCCACTTACCCTATAATAATAATCGCCACCACCCACTGCTCAAATGGCGTGAGGTTCTCCTCCCCCGGACCCCCACCTGTCTGGCCGGTACTCCTCCGGAGGGCAGCTGTACGCCGTTTGATCTCCACCTTGAGGTCAGACCACTTTTTTTTAATCTCAGCGGGGGTGCGTGTCTCGAAAACCCACCGCGTTCACCCTCTTGCAAACTTTCTCCCACTCCAAGCCTTTTTGTTTTGCACTGACGCCACTGGACAGGCTGCCAAACAAAACACGCTGTCCCTCCTCTAGGTGGAGATGCCACCAGCATCAGCAGCAAATAAATCTGCATATTTATAGGTGGGCATAACGGGGGCGGGTCTGGTCACTCCGACATCTGCGCTCAATTCCAAGCTGATTGGGATTTATCAAGGAAACACACGTGGCTTTCGGCGCCCGCACACCTTGATACATACAGATTTTTTTCTTTTTCACGGACCTTGCGTGCGCTCCTTTCTGGTATGAGTCCCACGCAAGTGTTGATACATGAGGCCCCAGATCTGCTCAGATCTTTTCTGAGCTAAGGAAGACGTCCAGGTAAGGGGATCATCAGGTGGAGGAGATCTACCTGGGCTGGGGAAGACTGAGGGCTCTATTTTCGTGCCTCGCCGGCGACGCGGCGCATACTCGGCGTAAGTGAGGTCCACCGCGCCGACAAGGCGTTCCCAAGCACAATTTGGTATTTTGGTGAGCGGTGCACCCCGGCATAAGTATCCCCCCTCCCTAACTCAGCTCCTCCCAGCGGCGTAAGTCGTTGCGAGGGAGGAGAGAGGGCCGAGAGTGGGTTTAACACAGCCGAGACCTGTTTTCACCAATCACATAAGCTCCTCTCCTTGCCTTTAAATCCACCACCGGCGAGGCGTATTACTATTTTCATGAAGTAGTCAAGAAGATCAAGAGATGTCTGAAGACAGTTATGCCACACGATGGCGACAAAGGGCAGCTCCTCAACAAGTGTCACTGTAAGCGCTGCATTGGGCGTCCTCCACACTCTCTCATATGAGCACAGATGGATTTGGTGTGTGTAATGTTGGACCCACTGTTAAGACAAACACCCTTTTCCACAAATAAAGACACTCACATAAAGTTGCTCATATTCAAACCTCACGTGACAAAGGTGGGTTGAGCGCACAGATCACAACATAAACTCCAATAATGGCATTAAAATCGGAACCATCTGTGCGTAAATGACACATCGCGCTCCGTGGCCTGGCTCTTTCTTTCATAGATGTTGGCATATAAAATAAATTTGGCTCACAAAACTGAATATTATAATATCCGTATGTCGGCTTAAAGTAGATAACGCATCTGAGCACTGAAACAAATCATCTGTTCAGCCGCTGCTGAAGCAGGACAGAGAGAGGACATGGAGACGTGTCCAGGTCGAGCTGTGCGAGAAATAAGAGGAAGAGGAAGAAAGAAAAGGAGGGAGATGAATTACATATCTTGTTAACTTCATCATGTGTGTCTGTTTACTAGACATTTAATTTAATTTAATGCGGTTTCAGCTGTGTTGATTCGGTCAGGTTGTGTGTCCAAACGCGTGCCAAACACGCCCTTCAGATCAGATATAGATCAGAATATATCGATATAGATCTATATTTATGTGCTAACTCAGATTATTAGTTGTTGATTATTTTATCTATTGCACTGAAATGTGCCTGACACTGTGGAAACCTGCCGGTGAGGCATCGGTGATGTATGCCAATACGCCGCCGGTCTACCAAAATACTACTAGACCAGCTGCATTCCGCCTGTGCTGAAAGCTGACCAGGTTTGAATCGGCGAGCTTTCAGCGCACTTTACACGTCGGTGGTGAGCACGAAAATGTCACTGCGCCCACTGATTCTGTCGACACCTCCCCCTGCCACGCCACCACGCCCAACTTGGCGGATCTCGGCTCGCCTCCGTGCACCTCAGTCCACGAAAATACCAAATTGGCTGTACGCTGGGCTGCGCCAGACGAAAATACAACTGCGCGGGGCTCGCCGCTCTCTGCCGCCTCATGGGCGTACACGAAAATAGAGCCCTGAGAGTGAAAGAACAGGGACAATCCCGGACTAAAGGACAAGACTTAAAGGGATATTCCTGCGTAAAATTAATTTAGGGTCAAACACACCGTAACACCAAGTTAGACACCCCCTCCAGAGATGAATGTTGCTGATCGCTTGCTTCTCTAGTTATACCAACTTTAGTAAATAGCAATACATAGTGGTCTGAGGAGCCATAAACAAACCTCAACCAAAACGCCACAAATAATGCTCAGAACAGCACCTATCTTCATCAACAGTACATATACGGTCTCAGCCATAGTACTAGCTACCAAACATCTTTTTATATGTTCTGTTTGATGAAGTTCGGTGCTGTTCTGAGCATTATCTGTGGCTATAGAGTGGCGTTTTAGTTGAGGTTTGTTTATGGCTCCTCAGACCGCTGTGTATTGCTATCCTGCGGTCGTTACTAAAGTTGGTGTAACTAGAGAAGCAAGCGGTCGGCAACAGTCATCTCTGGAGGGGGTGTCGAACTTGGTGTTACAGTGTTTGACCCTAAATTAATTTTACACCAAAATATCCCTTTAAAGTAGATCCTACATGCATGTCGACATTCTCAGTCTGAATGAATCTACGTGACATTTCTTTCATGGTGATTTTGCCACTCAGGCCAGAACATGTGTAAATGTGCGCGGACTTGTTGACTGCTCATTTTTATGTATTGATTGATTATTGAGCCTCAGGACACAGTTATGATGAGTCTCAACATTTGTATGCTGATTCACCTGAGAGTAGCTGAGGTCAAATCTTGTTTTTTCATTCAATTTACATCAGTTTCTTCAGAAAATCTGTTGTGCATTTTCCATTTAGCTTGCGGATTGAGAGTTTCTCTTCTTTATCTTACAGATGTAGTTATTTCTGAAATAAAAATGTGTCTGGTTGAAGATATTCTCCTCTGTCTCCTCTGTATTCAGCACACTGAAACTCACGTTGTCATAGTGCTGATTAAAATTGATCACACTGCCTCGTACTTATAAATAAGTGCGTGTGTTTTTTTTCCAGTTGCACAGTAGTGTGTGAGTTTCTAGTATTTTGTTGTGCGGGGCTTGTTTAAAACAGATCTTTGTTCTAATCGCTGTGAAATTAAACTCCAAACTGTGTTAAAGACTGTTGGTGTGTTGTCTGAGCGGAGCGGCCTAAGTTCGGTGCAGATATCAGTGTGATCAGAGCGGGACAGCGATGCTGCAGGGCTGGATTACCAACCCGCTGTCCTATTAAAGACTCCTGCGCCTGGAATAAAAGCATGTGTCCCATTGAAGGCTGCTGCTGTTGGGGAATCAAAGCGCAGTGAGATGATGCTGCTGCTGTTCTTGAAATAGCCCAGAACCAGAACAGTGATGCAGCATGTTGCCCTGAGGACACAGACGGGAGGGGGGGTGGTTAGCTGGAAGGAGAGGAGAGGGTTTCCAGAGTCGAAAAAACGCCGACCAAGAGCGACCCCCTGCTCTCCTGTAAACACTCCAATATCAGCTTTAGTGTGGAGCCTTTGAGGGTCTTCAGAAAAAAACAGGTCCCTGTTGTTTTTAAAAGATTAACTTTGGACTTAAATAAAAGAGATGAAGCTTCAGTGAGAAGACAGAGGAGATTCTCACCCCCAACTTCCACCGCATCCAGAACGTCTACTAAAAGGCTGTATCCACTGATTGTAACCATTCAAGTTAACGTGTCAATTTCCACTGGCTTCTTTCCGTTCCTCTGCAGATCGCCGGACTCAGAGGCTGATCACAAGAGTTCTATTTTTCCTGACGCCATGCTGGAAAGGAAGTCGGGCACAGACAAAAAAAAAAAAACATCTGGCCTCTTTTCAAAATAAAACACTCTGTGTTTCAGGAGGATCATATTTCACACCATGCAAACGGGTGGAGACGAATAAGTGAAAGGTTTTTAGACGTCATTTCACCCCGATGACACCATGGATGAGGAGATGCTGATTCTAGAGGTCTAGAAGTAGATTTCCTCCTCTGGAAGGACACAATCTACTGCTTATATGTCTATGTGGCTGTCTTTATAGATACAACTCATTATTGCACGATTGAACATTAATCTGTGGGTTCTTGTGAGTTCTCGCGATTCCTACTGTCCGTAATCCACCACGAAATTTGCCTGACAAACAGATCCAGTAAGAATGGGTGGAGGGCAAAAATCCCTGCTGTTCTGGATTGGAGCCGTTCCGGATGCAGTGAAAATTGGGGGTGAGAGTAGAGAAGAACAATGAACCGATTTACTGTCAAATCCACTCGCTTCGTGAGACTGTCAACTTTCACATGATGAAGTCTTTCAATGTTTTTGTGACATTCAGGATTTTTTCTATCCTGTCCAGAGTCAATCCCTCAAAAAAGAGAGTCTGTGATGATAAATTCAAATAATGCCGTTTCTGATGCTGACTGGTTTAAAGAAGAAGCTGACATCTTGATTTAGTCTGTTGACCAATCAGAGGCTGTATCTGTAAATCAGCTGACCTGCAAAAGCTCGATGAGAAGCAGGACACATTTTCCTGCTCACAGCATAGACATAGAAAAGATAGAACTGCTCTGAATGGCTCCAAACTATTCAGCTTATTCTAGAGACTTTTCAAAAGAGCAGAAACATCGGGCTTTGAGACTTTAAAGATATCCGATCTTTAAGGAAACAGAAAAACAAATCAGCTCAGAAAGTAAAAGATGAGAAGTGTGGGATCTAAAGGATGAATAACCGGGGTCAGGGTCTGCCGCTGCTGCTGTGTGGACAAGGGGACAGTCAGTCGGCGAGTATAAATAGCAGCATCAGCAACAGAAAGTCTGAAGAAGGGAAATAAACGAGCGGCTGCAGAGAAAGAGACAGCGGGTAAAGAGGGAGCTGAGCTCAGGCTGTAATCAGTACCAGATAAATTGCTGGTGTCTCTACCTGAACTCAGAGATGGGCTGACACTCTGACACCGGTAAGTAGGTTGCTCTAAAACTAGCTGGCCCTGGAGGAAAACAGCTCCACTTCCTGCTGCGCTGCGTCTGAGGCAGGAAATCAGGCCAGTCCCGGGAGACCCCCGAGGAAACCAGATGAAATTGGTGGTTTTTAATTTGGATTTTTGTGAACACAGACAGAGTGTGAGACCAGATTGTGTATAATATGAGCTGTTAGGTTAATTCACTGTGCTGTGTAAACAGGAGAAAGAGCTGAATAAACGGCTCTGGGTTTATCTATTTAAAGATGTAATTATATTAAGAGTGGCACACACGAGGAAACCCTGACGAATCCTCCGAGATCAATTAGGCCAAAGAAACGGAAACAACCTGAATGTTCGACAATCCTCCGAGGAGCAAACGCTCAGCCTCCTCCAAGACAGTTAGAGGAAAATTACATGAATGAATTCCTAATTTATATAATTACAGGACTGAGATGCTTAAAACATCACACCTAATCTCTGACATGGTTTCATACAGAGCTGGGTGGACAGACGTTCTAACATAGACTTAAGTGGGCCTCGGAAAACTCCACCACCTGAGAAATACACTCCCTGCTGTGAGAGACAGGATGGGGAACAACTGGATTCAGGAGACGCTGATCCACTGAGACGGCACTTCGTAGAGTCTCTGATGACGTTTTAAGACCACAAACAAAGATGACTCCTCAGTTCTCGTCCTCCTTGACCTCGGCTATGCTTTAGGTACCGTAGACCACTGTATTTTGATTGACGGACTGAAAGATCAGGTGGGAATTTCAGAGACATTGTTAAAATGTTTTTTCTGACTCTCCTCTGCCTCTGGCATACCACAGGGATCTGTCCTGGGACCCCTCCTTTTCTGTGCTGGAAAGATTTAACAACAGACAACTCTGCTTCTCTTTGTCCACAACCTAATATTTAGATGAAAAAACTTGTTTAAATATCAATCTACCCTCTAATTAATATTACCCTCTAATATTTAAACTTTAAATATTTGTGTTCAAATGCTGATTTCTATTTTTCAAGTTTTTTTTGTTTCTTTTTTAAAATATTTTTTGTTAAAAATTGTTTATTTATTTATCTTTCAACATTTCATTAACTAAATACGTGCTAGAAAGCCTTCATCTTTTGTTCAGAATCAGCTTCTTATCACACTGTGAGGTAGTGTGATAAGGTAACCGGCACAACTTCTTTCTCATTCATCCTCGCAGCGCCTCAGCGCTTTACACAGCCGGACACTCAGCGTCTGCTGACTTCAATGTGGAAGCTCAAAGTGAAACTAGACGCTCATTGGATAAATGCTGGGCTTTGTCCTGCCCATCGGACGCTCAGCGTCTCTGGAGTTCTATGACGAGAGGGCAGTCCCAACTTTCTCGCGGACGCTGAGCTTCTGCATCCATGATTGGATGAGCTGTCTGAAGCGAAACCTTTTTTTGATTGACAGATAAACAAGCGAATCAGCGATCTTGAAGTATAAAACATCTACCAGTGTATTTTCCAAGTTATTCATTCCGTTGTTCTTAACTGCTCCAGAGACTTTACCACTCAGCGACTTCTGTCTTTGTTAAAAACGACTGCCGTTGTGTTTGGCGACTCTGTTCTGTTACATACAAATAAACAAACACAATTATGATGCAGGCCAGAAAAATGAGCTTCCCCTCCTTGAAAGACCAGCAGCCGCCACTGCTATAGATGTAGGTTTTTTTCTTGTTATACAATTTAACTCAGATGCAAAATGATTTTATTTTGTTTCTAAATTTTTTTTGTTAGTTTTTTTGTAATCATTTTTGTGTTCAAATACTGATTTTTATTTTTCAAAGTATTTTTGTTTTTAAAATGATTTTGTTTTATTAAAAAAAATATTTTTTTTTTCTGAAACATTTTTATGTTTAACATTATTTTATATCCAAAAATTTAGTTTATTTTAAATTCATTTGTCCTAGATATATTGTTTATTTAAGATGTATTTGCCTTTATGAATATTTATTTTTATTTTATTGCCAAAACAAAGAAAAAAAAGTTGGGTTGTGGATTCATTTTTTTTAATCCAAAAAAATGTATATATTTATATATTTTGAGAATTTTTTTGTGTTTTCCATAAAATAGTTTGTGATCATAGGAAACACCGTCATGCTCTGTGAAACGTTTCCAGGTTTCATTGAATAATATTTGTATTCAATGAAATTGTTTGTGTTTGTTTTCTTTTCCAGAGCTTCCTCCCCTCCCCCGGCGCTGAGGCTGAGTGAGACTACACACCTGCTCCACATCTCCAATCAAGGCACTTTAAGAAGCCTGCAGCCCTCAGTCTCAGCGCCTGAGTATTGTCTACCCTTCCTAGCGGTAAAGACGCGTCTCCTGGCCAACCTCGTTTGTATCCCTATCAGAACTTTGCTCCTCGTGACTCTTTTCATGTACAATAACTTCCATCTCCTCTGGTTTTTTCCTGCAGTGTCTCCAGCCCACATGACAGCCAGCCAACCAGCCAACCGGACATCCTCTGTTGCACTATCTCCCCTTTTTTGGACATTAAATTACACTTTAAGTTGATCTCAGTCTCCGTGTCTGCTTCTGGGTCCTCACAACTTACCAGCCACACTACACTAATGGTGTAAAAGTAAAACTGAATATTAAAGGAATAGATAAAACCAAAGTAAAGTTGGTTCTTTGTAAAGTCTTATTGCAGAGGGGAGGAATGACCTGCAGTAGCGCTCCATCTTGCAAGGTGGGAGTCTCAGTCTGCTGCTGAAGGAGCTGCTTAAAGCCCCCACAGTCTGGTGCAGTGGGTGAGAGGGATTGTCCATGATGGATACAAGCTTTGCTAACATCCTCCTCTCACCCACCTCCTCCAGGGAGTCCAAGGAGAAGTCCAGGACAGAACTGGCCCTCCTGACCAGTCTATTCAGTCTCTTCCTGTCCCTCTCGGTGCTCCCTGCCCCCCAGCAGACCACCGCATAGAAAAGTACAGATGCTACCACAGAGTCATAGAAGGTCCTGAGCAGAGTCCTGCACACTCCAAAGGACCTCAGTCTTCTCAGCAGGTGGAGACGACTTTGGCCCTTCTTGTACAGGACGTCTGTGTTGGTTGACCAGTCCAGTTTAGTGTTGAGGTGGACACCCAGGAATCTGTAGGACTCCACCATCTCAATGTCCAGACCCTGGATGTTCACTGGAACAGTCTGAGGTGTCCTCCTCCTGCGGAAATCCACAACCATCTCCTTTGTCTTACTGGCGTTGAGCTGGAGGTGGTTTGTGCCACACCAGTTGACAAAGTCAGTGATGACAGTCCTGTATTCCTGCTCATCCCCTGACAATACACATCCGACGATGGCTGTGTCATCAGAGAACTTCTGGAGGTGACAGCTCCCAGAGTTGTAGCTGAAGTCTGAGGTGTACAGGGTGAAGAGGAAGGGGGAGAGCACTGTTCCCTTTGGAGCCCCCGTGCTGCAGACCACCATGTCTGATACACAGTTCTGAAGCCTCACAAACTGTGGTCTGTCGGTGAGGTAGTCCACGGTCCATGCAGCTAGGTGACAGTCCACTCCCGCCCTCTCGAGCTTCCCCCTGAGTAGTAAAGGCTGGATGGTGTTGAAAGCACTGGAGAAGTCAAAAAACATGACCCTCACAGTGCTGCCGGTGTTCTCCAAGTGGGCCATGGACCTCTGCAGCAGGTAGATGACTGCGTCGTCCACCACGATGTTCGGCTGGTACGCAAACTGCAGAGGATCCAGCTGAGAGCTCACCAGGGGGCGGAGGTTCCTCAGCACGATCCTCTCCAGTCTTCATCAGGTGAGAAGTGAGGGCCGCAGGTCTGAAGTGGTTGGGCTCCCTGGGATGTGCTGTCTTGGGGACAGGAATCACGCAGGAAGTCTTCCACCGTGTTGGGACCCTCTCCAGACTCAGGCTCAAGCTGAAGATGTGCAGTAGCACCTCACAGAGCTGGTCTGCACAGTCCTTCAGCAGTCTGGAGCTGATGCCGTCAGGACCCGTGGCCTTCCCTGGCTTCATCTTCCTCAGCTCACTTGGTCAGCTGTTTTGGAGGATGGAGGATGAGTGGGGGGTGGTTGATGATGCCAGTGCCATGGGACTAAGGTGGTGTGAAGAAGAAGCAGCAGACGGGTCGTTGGTTTGATGAGTCGGGAGAGGAGTGGGAGCAGAGTCAAATCTATTGAAGAACAGATTCAGCGTGTTGGCCCACTCCCTGTCTCCTGCTTCAGGTCCCTTTTCATGGCCCCTGCTATGACCTGAGATGGATTTCAGGCCTCTCCAGACCTCCCTCGCGTTGTTCTGTTGAAGAAGGTTTTCCATCTTGGTCTTGTAGCTGGCCTTTCCCTCTCTGATCTTCTTCTTCAGCTCCTTCTGCACCCTCCTCTGCTCCTCCTTGTCCCCAGATTTTAAGACCCTCCTCTTCTCCTTCAGGAGGACTTTAAGTTCTGGGGTCACCCAAGGTTTGCTGTTGGAGAAACACCGTACTTTCCTGGTGGGTACGGTGTTCTCAACACAGAAGTTTATATAGTCAGTGATACAATCTGTCATGGTGTCGATGTCATCACCATGTGGGCCACACAGTACATCCCAGTTTGTGGTCTCAAAACAGTCCTGCAGCGCCTCAGTGGCCTCCTCAGACCACCTCTTAACATACCTGATGGTGGGGGGTTGTTTCTTCACCATAGGTATGTAAATGGGCTGCAGTCTCCCCAGGTTGTGATCTGAGCGGCCCAGCAGGGGGAGGAGGTGTTTGCATCCTTGACGTTTGCATACAGTAAGTCCAAAGTTTTATTGTCTATTGTTGGGCAGTTTACATACTGGCTGAAGGTAGGGAGAGTGGAGGACAGCGATGCATGATTAAAGTCTCCAGAGATGATGATCAGAGACTGAGGGTGTGATGTTTGTAGCTTGGACACTTCACTATGGAGGAGTTCACAGGCTGCAGCATGCATCAGCCGAGGGGGGATGTAAACAGTTAACGCGATGACGTGCGAAAACTCCCTCGCCAGGTAATATGGCCGCAAACTCACAGCCAGCAGCTCAATGTCCTTAGAGCTGTGCTAGTGCTCTTTAACACTGATGTGCCCAGCATTACACCATCTCTCATTCACATACACCGCTATCCCGCCTCCTTTCTTCTTACCACTCTTCCTCCCGCTCCGGTCCGCTCTGACGAGGTAAAATCCGTCCAAAGTTATGAGTGGGTCCGGAGCATAGACTGTATATAAGATGGACGCCGTCTGTCTCCTCGCCGGGTGAAGCCACTCCGAGAACAGCACCCCCTAGAGCGTGGCTGCAGTACAAGTCATAAACCCCACTTCTGCCAGCAAAGTGAATGGAGCGGCGGACGGCCTTTAGAAATTAATTTCACAGAAAATACACTTTTCTCACCCCCGACTGCGATGTTGACATGTAGTTATTATTAGACTGGTTTGTGTTCAGGCCTTTTTTTCTCTCTGCAGCTCCATTTTAAAAAGTTATAAGGAGTTATAAAAACAGGAAATTGCGTCATTCTCTACACTTTGCACTTGCTGCTTGTGCGTCGCTCTTTTTTGTCCATCGTCAAGACCGATCGGGTTTGCCAGCGGAGAAGAGGATTACATTTTTCCATCGTTTTTCTCTTTTATTGCATTGGAAAAATGAGTTGTTCTGCAGTAAACTGTGTTAACCGACATGTGAAATCAGGAACTTTGCAGTTGTTTCGGTAAGTTATGTTTTTTTTATGAAGTCATCAGCTTGCTAGCTACATAACATTAAACGGTCTGGTTTAATTTAGCTAATGGGGTTTACTTACAGATATCAAGCGGTAAGTTCTGTGCCGCTAATAAGCGTTTTTATTAGAAGTTAAACAATGAGGAAACCCCTTAAAATCCGCCTTCTTTTTATAACAATATTATGACTATGTGACTTTGAATTTGAATTAAAAACCGTACCGATCCCACAGATTCATACTAGCAACCAAATACTACCACAGAGTATCAGGGCATGAAATGAAAACTCGAGGCATGAAGTCATAATGTTAAAGGAATTAATTCGCATTTAAGTCATTCCCCTAATATTGCATCACTGTATGAGAACAAGGCCATGTAAATGAATATAATGAGAGTCATGATGTTATGAGTCGAAGTTTTGGTAATGGATCAACCAGTTTTACTCGGGTATGTTACAATGAGAGCAGCCTGCGCTAAAATCAGGTATGGTTTAATTAAAATGCATCTTTCGGATGCACCGTCCTAGCTTTCTGGCAGAGGATTGACCGCCGGTTCAGTCTCCTCCGTAGAGCGGCAGTAGTATTACAGCTTCTGTTGACATAATGATATTTGTCTAAGATAAAGCTCTGAAACTGTCTTTAATGGGACAAAACGTCGAGAAAACGAGACCCTATAAGTGTATAGAAGGACATGCTCAAAAGATTACTTATACAAGTTGCATAACTGTTATTTATTTTATGTTATCAAATAACATACATAAGTCATAAGTATACTTCTGTGGAATGACAATTATCATTTACAGCAGCATGGTAGATCATGTCTTACTTAAGTTTTCAAGATAGATAGATAGATAGATAGATAGATAGATAGCCCTGTTACCTATGAGATTGAGATAAAACTATGAGTAATGTAATTAGTTATGGAAAGACAGCTGCATATGACATACTTAATCAATCACAATGACATTAAAATTTTTGTTACATGCAAAGAAATCCCTCAATTTTGATAGGATGTTCATAAGACATATCACTCACAAGATGAAATGATTTGGATTATTTATACAGTTTGTATATTCATTCACTTGAGGTATTTTTTGTGATTGTCTTTGAATTGAGTTTTGGCTTCAGCCTGTTATGCAACAAAGCAAGAATTAAACTGAACGCAAAACATTAACTTTGTGTTGTTTACAAACTTGACAAATGGCAGTAAGCAATGTTATTGTATTTTTGTATAGTTTCCCTTTAGGTGACAAAGCGAGGCTGAAGCAGTGGCTGGTGAACACAAGACGGCAGGACTGGAAACCAACAGGATCATCACGTCTTTGCAGTGCTCATTTTGAAGAGCATGCCTTTGCTGTGGACTCAAAGGTTAAATTATTTCTTTTTTAATGGACAGCAATTTTTATGAAGTTCACATTTGCAACAATTTATTGTTAAATTGACTAACACTTTGAATCATAAAATGGCGGTTATTTAAACATTCCCAAGAGCTGAACACTACAGCTATTGTGGTTCCATTTTAAATTACTGCTGTTTTTATGTTTTCTAAAATTAGGTATTTGCATGTAGTTGTAGTGTCTGCTACCATCTACTGGTCATTATTAGTTAGTGTCATCAGTCATTTTCAGTTTAAGTTGGCGCAGCCTGGAGTAAAAAAAACAGGAATCATGTTGCAAAAAAAATTTGAGTGATACCACATGAACAACTTCTTATGCTTAGACCAAAATGTGCCCTGTTAGATAAAGGTAACAGCACTAGCCAAGTAGTAGTCTCTAAGAATGCTAACTAAATGAAACCTTTTAATTAATTGGACAAGTATATCAAAACCTCTAAAGTTTTCATGCTGAGCTACCACCTGGTTTGAGACATTAAGTGAATTTGAGAATTTAAGTACTGGTATTCACAATTTAATTGATGAATTTCTTTGTGTTTTTCAGACTTCATCACCAACCACTGATGATATGGTGGATTCATCTGCTGCAGCCTGTTTCCTTTCCACCCAATGCAACTCCCAAAGTACTAGATTATATCTTTTTAAGTTCCTGGTAAAATAACAAACATACAGGTTTTCTGCAAAGGAGTTAAGTATTTATAAATCACAAATAAATACTAAAATGCTAGTGTCCTCTCACAAGTGTCCATGTCATGCTATCTGATTTACATTAATTACATGCTGTTCACTACACATATTGTCAGTTTGTTTTTTCAGTTTTACCACACTTTGTCCACTTCATGGAGAGGACTCGCACACAGAAAGATGGAAAAGACAAATGTCTTGAAAAGTTGGATCCCTTTTATTGCTAGGAATAAAATGGATCCAACTTTTTTTGACATTTGTCTTTTCCATCTTTCTGTGTGTGAGTCTTTTACAGCCTTTTTGAATTGTCTTATCTGACCATTACACCAGAAGCAAGAATACTAGGACTGATGTTAGGCTCTTTTCTTGTTAATCACTTGATGATGAGTACATAAGAAATGCATTGACTTTGTTGTGGTATGTTTTTTTCTTTTGATAGCTTTACATGAAAAATAAAATTTTGAGACAAATACTCTGGAATAATAAAGCATATACTGTGTTTTTTCATCTGTGCTGTAAATCAGAAAACTTTATCATGGTACAACAAATCACAGAAAAGCATGTGAAGTTTCAACATTAATTTAATTTTTCTAACAATCAAAAACATCCCCAGCTACATTCGTCGTGGGGAAAACGCCTTGAGGAAGACCATCGGGTGGAATGGCTGGGGTACGGCAGAAAGTTTGTAGGACAGAGAGAGAGAGAGAAGGAGGAAGAAGAGCTGTGACAGAATTGAACAGTGTGATGGTTACCTTTGTAAAACAAACTTCACAAAATTGTGCTCGAGTAAACAATTAAACAAAATGTGCACATCAATCACAAATAAAGCAGATAAATCCTGACCATTTTTTGCTGCCTATTGTAGGTGAAATCCCAAATCTAGCACCACCCTACTAGATTTGGTCTTTCAAACACAAGGCACTATTATTTAAAAAAATGTCATTACCCAAAGTGGTGAAATGAACTCCATCGTTTAAAAAAAGGCCAGGATCTCTGTGCTTTATTTGAGGATGATGCACAATGCTTCCGCCAACAGATGAAACAAAAGTAGCCATCACACTGTTCACATAGCGCCTGGCTTTGTCCATTTTCTTGGGGCTGTATCTCCATCGGCTCCTCTGAGTGATGGCAGAGAAGATGATCCTCACGGTGGGGAACTGCCGATGGAGATCCTGGAGGTCCTGCTGTTTGATTTCTGTAAATGTATTGAACAATAAAAGAAAAAAAAAAAGTCATTTTCCTACAAAACCTTGCATGGCTTGTGATTCAGCATGATTCCACATCATGCTGAATCACAAGCTGTTTAATATTTTTTACAATAGATATAATTTGGAATTGAAAACTTGAGCTTGCTCTTGTTACATCACAAAAACAAATATTTATAACATTACCTAATAAAATTCTGACTAAAATCATATCCAACTAAATCAGCATCCATCTCAATGAATTTTTATCCTTACTTCTGGTCACAGTGGCTGATGTTGTGCTCATCTTTGAAGCTTCTTTTCTCTTTGTCTAAAAAAAGGAGAACAACATAAATATTTGCTGTTCATTCAGAATTTTGTTCATTTTTAATCACAGTACAATAGCATATATCTTAACAACTGATAAACTAAAAATATCACGTATTTTGCTGTTTAATTTACCAAGGCTAGTGTTAAATTGCAATGCTACTTTAGCTTACATTTACACCGTTTCTTTCAACAAAGAGAGATGACTTACTTGCCAATCAAGTAATAGATGATATCTTTATTCGTATTAGTTATGATGGTATTTTATGTTCTTCAAAGTTAGTACGCTCACAAATTTCACATTATATCAGGAGAAGTGGAACTTACTTATTCTTGGTCGCGACAAGCGGGGAAGCTATTAGCGATACCGATGTAAGGCTGGAAGGACATCCGGGGGGGGGGGGGGCACTTTTTGAGCGGAACGTCATCGCGCCGAGTCTCCCGTCCAGCCAAAAACGTCTGCATACAACGCTACTGCGCAGCTCTGGTTGCAAGGAACCCGGAATTACCGAGAGCTTTTTGGCTTCAAATCCGTATACAGGCGGAAGGCGGAACCACGGCGTCCATCTTATATACAGTCTATGGTCCGGAGCGAGTTCGTTCAGCCATCACTCGGTGAACATCATGAGGCTGCACTCCCGATACTCCCACTGCAGCCAAGTCAGCGCTGTGAGCTCTTCCATCTTGTTGGGGAGAGACCTCACGTTTCCCATGATGATGAACTCCGAAAAGTAAAAGAAAACAAAGTGCTAGAGTCGTGAAATGCACATCCATGGTTTGAATATGCAAGACACAACACTGCTAAATAAAAAGAAAGACAAATAAGGTGCAAAAAAACAACAATAAGAAGGCAAAAACATACAAATTACAATAAAACTTGATGTTTTATAATTAGGACAAAACCTTATTCAACATTACGTTTATCTAAGAGGCTGATGGACAGTCCCGGAGAAGGTCTCTGTGAACCTTCAGAGTGTCTTCATCTGAAATCAGCAGGAACCTCCTCCTGATGATTCTCTCACATCACTAAAACCAGAGACTCCAAGAAGACAAGAAGTCCTCGTCCTGCTGTGGCAGGATGTGTTCAGGTTTTCATGGCTGTTCCAGACACACTGCTGCTTTGGTTCTGCTCTGGTTCTGCTCTGACAGTGCTCTCTGAGGGGGATCTGAGTCCTTCAGCATGTTGATGTCAACACGTGGAAGCCAAACAGGACAGTATGAGAGCTTTCAGCGCTATAAAAGGTTTTTATATTGAAACGCAGTGGCGGTCCCTGCTGAGATATTCCTGAAATGAAAGTGTTCAGTGTGTCATTTTCTTTGTTTCCATTACAATGTGTAGTCAGCACCACAGAGAGAGAGGGAGAGAGAGAGAAAGAGAGAGAGAGAGGGAGAGAGAGACTCCCTCTGTCTGAGGAGGACTGGAGTGAGAGTTTGGATAATCACAGACTTTAATGGTATTTAATCAAACCAAACTGTGATGTTAGAGAATGAGATTCTGTTAGCGGTGTTAGCTAACTGAATGGAACATCCATCAAAGTGAAGAAAACAACATCACATCGGGACATAATCTCCCTCATCTCTCCCCCATGTTTTCAATCTATCCTATCTGTTGAGGAAAAAGCCCCCAAAAATGCTTAAAAAATGTCATAGTATAGGAGGTTTTTACTTGCTGTCACTTCCATGTAACGCGGCACACGCGAAACACAGATGGAGGGCAGGAAGTGAGTTGCTGCTATAGAGACCAGTAACATGCCGATGTTTTGCTCCGTTTACGGCTGCTCAAATCGATCGAACAAGGAAAAAAACAAGAGCTTTTATCGTGTTCCCAAAGTAGTGTTACACAAAGGGGAAAGATATAAGAAGCTGACTGAAAAACGCCAGAAAAAATGCCTTTTTAATCTACGCCTACGGCAGTGGTTCTCAAGTCCGGTCCTCGAGCCCCCCTGTCCTGCGCGTTTTGGATGTTTCCCTACTTCAACACACCTGATTCAAATGATAAGCTCGTTATTTAGCCATATCAGAGCTTGATAACGAGCTGATCATTTGAATCAGGTGTGTTGGAGCAGGGAAACATTCAAAACATGCAGGAAGGGGACTCGAGGACTGCATTTGAGAACCACTGGCCTACGGTCTGGAGGAGCAGCGTTGGATAATGCCCCTATGTGCAGTGACCACTTTGTCAAAGGTAATGACTCATTTTCAGCCTGTAGTTAAATTCTTTCATCTCATCAAGGCTAAATACCGATAGCATCTAAACCGGCGCATCTCCTCCATTGCAGTCGGTCACTTCCTGCCCTCCATTTAGTCCTTGTGCGAAGTCAGGATCACGTGACTGAAAACCTCCTATGGAATGATAAAAAGAAAAAAAATCATGTTAAAGTATGGTCAAAAAAGTCATAGTATAGTATAATTAAAAATATGTCATGGTATAGTATGATACTAAAAATGTCATAGTATAGTTTCATAAAAAATGTCACAGTATAGTATAATAAAAAATGTGTCATGGTATAGTAGGATAACAAATGTCATAGTATAGTATGATCAAAATGTCATAGTATAGTATGATCAAAATATCAGTATAGTATCATAAAAAATATGTCATGGTATAGTATGATAACAAAAAATTTCACAGTTTAGTATGATTTAAAAAATCATATTATAGTATGATAAAAATGTCATAGTATAGTATGATCAAAATGTCATAGTTTAGTATGATAAAAATATCATAGTATTATATAATAAAAATGTCATAGTTAAGTATGATAAAATATCATAGTATAGTAAGGTAAAAAAAAAGTCATAGTATAACCATAGCATGTCTCTGAATCTCTGTGTATGTGGTGTCAGTAATGTGCTCATGTTACCTCCTCCTCCCCCTCCCTCTTTTGTGTACTTTCCCCATCTGTAAATGCAATTTCGTTGTGCACGGTTGCAATGATAATAAAAAACTGTCCAATCCAAATTATGATGAAAACTGATAAGAAACTGAGACCTGAGGTTTCCCCCTTTAAAACAGGGTGCTGAGGCTCAACAGTTTTATCATCATTTCAATTTAACTTTATTCTCATAACAACACGGCTTTAACCCCTTAACATAAACACTTGATTTTCTTTAAAAAGGAAAAATCCTTGTTAGTGTGGCCCGAATACTCCGTCGTACCCTGGGTTGTTAATGTTGATGAATGAACTCATTATTGTCTCAATATGACTGTGTTACATAAATTCATTCATTCATTTCAGGGGCACAAAATAGGCTCTTTCTCCTCCATAGATGGGCTGATGTCTCTCTGCACAGTGACCTGAGTGTGTGTGTGTGTGTAAGAGAGAGTGATAACGACAGCCAACAGCTGAGATTATTGAACAGTTTATGCTGACCATCTGCAGAGCAGCATCCTGGGAAATTAAGTAAGCAAACACTGTTAATTAGAGGAAGACGTTTTAATGAATAAAAATCATTAAGTGGTGATAACTGCAGGTCTGAGGACTATAACTGGGACACAACAAGGACTCCAGGACTTTTACTGCAGTAATCACAAATCCACCAAAACTGCAACACCAGAAAAATGGACCTCATTCCAAATTCTGGTCTGATCCAGGATCTCAGCTGTTCAGGGTCTCCAAATGTTTTCAAGTCAGGACCACATCAGTCCAGTTTCTCAGCAGGACTCTTCTCCTACAGAGCCATGCTGTTGGAATCCTTGTTGTCAAAATGTGGACGCAGCATCTGTGATTTCTAATTCTTTGTTGAGAGGACAACTGGACTTAAGGCGAAACGTCTCAATAAGTCCAGTTGAAGGTCAGATTCTGATCCCTCAGACCACAAGACAGTTCTCCTCGTTCCCTCAGTCTCATTTCTCATGAATATTTTTCATGTCTTATTTTTGTCATGTGTCATTTGTCATGTCCCATATAAGCATGTCTCATATTTGTCATGCCTTATTTGTCATGTCTCATATTTGTCATGTCTCATTTGTCATGTCTAATGCTTTTTATGTCTAATTTGTCGTGGCTCACATTTGTCGTGGCTCATATTTGTCATGTCTCATTTTTCATGTCTCATATTTTTCATGTCTCATTTTTGTCATTTCTCATTTGTCTTGTCTCAATTTTGTCATCTCTCGTTTGTCATGGCTAATTTTTGTCATGTCTCATTTTTGTCACGTCTCATATTTTTCATCTCATTTTCATCATTTCTCATTTGTCATGTCTCTTGTCACGTCTCATATTTGTCATGTCTCATTTTTGTTATTTCTCATTTGTCGTGTCTCATATTTGTCATGTCCCATATTTGTCATTTCTCATATTTGTCATGTGTCATTTGTCATGTCTAATTTTTGTCACGTCTTATTTATGCCATGTCTCGTGTTCGTCATGTCTTATTTGTCATGTCTCATATTTGTCACCCCTCTTTTTTTAATGTCTCATACTTTTAATTTTTCATTTTTGTCATGTGTCATTTGTTATGTCTAATTTTTGTCATGTCTTATTTATGCTGTGTCTCATTTTTCTCATGTCTAACTTTTCTCATGTCTTATCTCATCTCAGTCACTTACAGAGTGCTGAACCTCTTCCATCCTCTCTGAATAGCTGTCTTAAACCCAGTAATGTGACTAACCTGTGTTTACTTCAACATTTACAGTGGGTCTAAATCAGCTTCAGCGGGTGTAGATGTACTTTTATCATCACATTATCATCATCTGCAAATATGTGTGTGAGAAGTTTTCAGGCTCCTTGTCGTCACAGTTTAAGTGTTTAAAGAAAAGTCGTATATCTTGTGTATTGATCGCATTCTGAGCCAAAAAGTAGTCTCTAACTTCACCTGTTATAATGAGGTAAAACCTTCAGTATTTCCCTCTAATTAGTCCTCTTACTCTGTCTGAATGTATCCTTACTCCAGCTCGGAGTCCACATTATTTTGACAGTGAATTCAAACGAATTACCTGCAGTCCTAATGAGGATTTTGTGCTCACGCTCTGTTGCACTCTGTTGTAAAATCTCTCCTTAATGTAATAAATCTGCCTGCTGACCTAAATATCATTTCCATCTTCAGACTTAAATTAGACCTTTATCGAATGAGGTTTGGTGCAGCACTCACAACATGTGGTCAGGTGGGAAATCTGCCTCCATAACTGGATTATTGCAGCTCACACCTGATTTTGTGACTTGTTAAAAAATAGAGACATCCGATTTCAGGCCTCGGACACTTCCTTCTCTCTCTCTCTCTCTGCAG